AGCTGATGTTATATTTTTCCTCTTTCCTTTCAAGCAAAACATGGATTTATAACCCCCAAACTAACTCTGCAACTTGGGATCAGAGACAAATTGAATCCCATTAATACTTGCAAACAATACACCTCTGTCAATGTCCTTTGGGTATTTATTCCAAACAAGAAGCAAATATGAAATTCTTTCTAATTCTCAATCATATGAATATCATCGGAGTCTAACAAATTTGCTTGTTGTTCACCTTTGTTTCAATACCACTTTTGTTGTGCTGTGATGAAGGCACATGAAGTTATAAGCCACTGAAATTGTAAAGCTACTTTTGAATCATGCTGCATATTGCTCAGGCTGTTAGATAATAGGATGAAGGAAATGGGCTTTGCACACATGTTGGCCAAAATAATAAACTCCCAGCCAAGTGCAAATGAATGCTCCTTGTCTATAAATAATGCAAAGTGGCAAGATGATGCAAAATCATACCTATGGATGGGAAGGTTATCATATAGGTAACTTAAGCTGTTCAAACTGTTCTTGCTGAATGCTGAGGCCTGGCAAACTAAGAGATAAGGGTTCCCATAATTTTGGCCAGGGAACATATCTGCAAAGGAAGAAAATTCATATGGCTATATATGTGGTTATAGGCAACAAAACAGGACAAAACCTTATGACACATTTCATCAGAGTACTCTTCATCCTTTAACCTGTGTGAAGGAAAAACATGAAAAAAAAAAACAGGGAAAATGTAATGCCAAATTCTAAAATGCAAAAGTCTTATTTGCGAAATACAAACTTCAAACTCAATTTGATGACTGGAAACCTGGCACTTTAGGCATGGAATGCAGTTTTCTATGTGCTCTACAATTTCATATATTCCCTTTCATTGTGCACCTAAACTGTAGAAGGGGTGCTATTCTTGTTTGGCCCTGGCCTAATGAGGTTTTCTCAAAACATCAGACACATCCCTTCATTTCTTTTAAGTGCCAATGCCAATTCGTCAACCAAATTTAAATGAATCGGTAACTTACTGCAGGATTTATTTCAGCAGGGACATTCTGGGGCATCTCCAGGTTGTTAAGGGCAGCTTCTTCCCCCTCAGGGTCCTGGTAGTATGAGGTCTGTGACTCTGCATCCCAATCCTCCTGTTCCACCTAGAAATGAAGATGACGGGTGTATCTTGAAGGTTCTGCACAGAGTTCATAATTAAATAATTCACTCACTGGCTGTTCATGCTCTTCATTTTTAATGGTCTCCTCTTCAACAATATCCACAACTTCATCTTTGATCACAGGCTCCTCTTTGGTAGGTGCACTCGAAGAGGGCACAGAAGGAGAAGCACCTGATGCACTCCAAGATGTACTCTGATGAGACAGAATGGTATGATTATACTTCAGCAAAGGGATCAATTGGCTCAATGAGACGATAACTCACTTCAGGCTTCTTCTTTGGCAAGGGTCCATTTTCCTGCAGTAAATTTGATGGCTTGCCATCATTTCTTGCCATTTCTTGGCTACGCCGAGAAGTCTTTGAATGCTGGGACCCTTCATTGTACGACTGCCAAGCAGCCGCCTTCCGTTTGTGAGACAAGGCGTGCTGGACGTCGGACACGGGAATGGTGGTCCCGGTCGATGTTGCCGTCCCTACACTGTAAGACTTCTTGGAGTGGTCTCCCTTCAGACCCTTCACTTCTAGGACCTCAGCCAGTTGGATGAACTTCTCCAGGTCTATGGATGGGATATCCACTTCCCCTATGTACATAAAGTCAACAAGGAACTTCAAGAGATGGACATCCACTCCAAAAAAGTACATCATGGGATTGTGATGGCTGTCGCGCTGCAGCACTCGCTCGAAATACCCCGATCCGGCACAGAGAACCAACTTGTGTGCCTTCAGGGACTGTCCTTCGCACATCAGCGTCACGTCCACCAGCACCTCCCGGCTTCGGAGCGTTTCAAAGCCGTGGAAGGCCTCGGTATGGTGGGAATTCCACTTCAAATTATACTTACTGCTGCTAGCCATGGTCAAGATCCACCAAGGCTCAGAGGCAATGGAAACCTAGAGGATGTCATGAATTATTATAAAATGGGGCAACTATAATCATAACTAATGGTTATGACTTAGCCAAGTCAAGTCTCATTAAGCAAATACTAATGATATAAGCTTGAGAAGGATGTAAAATCAAAACCACATGTTAAAACAACCAACTGCATCCATCAAAGGTTGTTTCCTGTTGAAAATAGGAACACTGGCTGACCATAGATACAAAATGTAAATTCTGTACAAAGTATTTTTCTGGCATTGTGTCCATGTTTCACCTGACAGTATCAAAATGATGAAAACCCTGGACGTTTCCTTTTCTTTGTCTCAAGCAAGATGAAGCATTGCTATTCGTCTGCAAGCGGTCCTGGGAGCTCTCGGTGGAAGGCACCCCGTGTGGCATCGGTTGGATCGACGTAACTCACCTCGACTTGTTTTGATAGAGAACTATGGCAGCAACGAATGCACCTAAATCTTTCATCGCATAAGAGTTGTTGTATGACTACAAAAATAAAAGTGCTGAAGAAAAAATGTTTCCTATCGATAGGAACCAAACACCAAGGTACCAAGATCTTCTCATACAAAGTCTGGCCCTAGACCCTGCGATTTCCTTCCATTCTTACACATGAAGCTTCATCGCCACAATCTATTGAAATATTGTGAATTGTGGCGTAATAATTAAAGGAACTATACTAATGGGTCAGTCGTAGCATTCGCCACAAAGGAAATAACCTAAACGTTTGCTCTATTCCGCCTCTAGGGCCTACCGTCTCGTGATCCCGACTTCCGTGGACTTAGCCTATGATTTTGCATCCCGCCATGTGTCTTCTCGCCTTTTCGCACAAAGATTGGCATTCCTGTCGCCAATCTAGTGCAACGCCTCACATAAACGACTCGTGCCATGTGGAGATCGTGTTGCACCAGCAAGCGGCCATCGAGGAATTTTCGACAGGGTTGCCAGAGGTCCCCGAAATGCTCTCTCCTCCCCTTTACTTCCCGTGAAGATTAACGCGATTTAAAAATGTATTGCTGGAATCATGGCAACGTAGCGAAAGCACTTTGATACGCATAGGATACTTTTTCTTTCAGATCCAAAAATTGTGGATTTACGGTTCACTTGATTGAAACGATTTGTCTCGTGATTCTCGCATCACTATTTTCCATTTGAGACAGGAAATTCAATGATGCGAGAGTCACAAATGACAAGTCACTCGGCATGTCAGTTCAGAAAAGCGTGAGCTCCCTCCTCAAATCCGACGCAAGCGACTCAATACGTTAGAAATTCTTGTAACTTAACGTTAAAATATATTTCTACGATAAAATGAATCTCTCATAATTTTATTCTTCCCTTTCCTCCGCTTTTCTGATCCACCCCGTTTTTTAATCAACTCGGAATTTTTGTCTGATAATTCACGTTCAAAACTTCCTGATATTCAACTTCTCAGCCCCAAATAACTTTGAGTAATTTCTCGAAGCAACTAAATTTCGCATTTGGCATCACTGCGGAGGCTCCCCCTTGCTTTGTAGCGTTTCAATTTCTCTTCCCTGTTTGCATGTTGAAGCGCACTCGACAGCAAGGATTCGGTTCCTCGAAGGGTCTGCTGTCGCTTTTCGTCTCTGGTTACCATTAATCTTCAGGTCGGACTTTTTTTTTCCCATCGCTCGACGTAAGCATGCAATTTCGTCCGTTTCCGAACGATTGCTGCGAATTTTGACATCGGCCGTTCATCAGCTTGCATAATTTTGACGAGATCATGCAGATGAAAGGATCGGAAAAAGAAATGCAACACCTTGGGCGTTCCACCTGTAAACCCGAGACGAAGGCGACAGACCGACCACGACGAGCACGACTCCGGAATCGGTCACCGCGACCGGTGAACCGCGCCAACCGCAGACGTCGCTTGCCCAATCGAACGCAGCGGCTGTGAAGCACGTCGAGGAGGTCATCCGATCGACTGCGAGGGAGTCTCGCGCCTTTCACTGCGGCCGAGGCGAGGCTGGCGCTGAGATAGGGCCCACTGAGATCCTGTGGTCCTGTCTCAGTGGGCCCTGACGGCGGCCTCATGCATATATTTGTGAATATTTGTAAATATTTTTTTGAACACCTTGCGTCAGTGATCTCTGATGTTCGTTCGAGAGTGGAACTGGGAAGTCGAAGATGCCCGTTTTGCCCAGTGAATCAATTCCAATTTCGGGCTGGAGATGGAGAAGTCGAATATGCACATTTTGACTCTCTCCGGTTTCCTTCTGCTAAAAAATGGTCACTCTCCGGTGGACAGACTTCCTGGGTGGAGGTCGCGTCGTGGAGTTGGTAGATACGGCATGGTTGTAGTTTCGTGACTCCGAACAGGCAAAACAGAATTGGCTTATCGTTGGCTCACTTTAGGGTAAGGAGCCTAGTTAATGAATAGCTCATAGACCTACGACCAATATCTAGGCCTAGGCTCATTAGAGGACTGAGACAGACTGTGTTCCGGTGCGTGTTCATGATTTAATCATTACCTGGGATAAATACAAAATTGTGAAATAATGAACCGACTGGATGTAAGTTCGGCTTTCTTTGTTCTGACTTCACCTGCTCTTTCCGTCAATATAGTTTTCATTACTTGAGTCAGGCAATTTTTCGCTCGACTTTGACAATCGTGCATGCGGCGTTCCTAATGCGCGAATGTAAAAGGTAGGTGAAGAATTGTCTGACGCAAGTGAAAATCACTCTACTAAGGGTAGAGGTGGGTGGGGCTTGGACATGAGTAGTTGTTGCCAACTCAACCATGCATTATAGTTATGTTCAGGGAAGGATAGGAGAAAGACCATTGGATTTTATCTTGTAAATGTATATCTCAGCTCTTATTGAAGCTACTTTTGCAAAGCATGTACTGCATAAAATCGTATTTTCCCAATAGACTTTTGATGTTACAGCAAAACCATGATTTATTCTTTTTTATCATTCTTTACCCTTTGTTCCTTATAGTGGACTACATTTTACTCTATATTAGGGGCTAAATGGACCTCATGTTTTCTCTTTTAATGGGAGGTAACCCTCCTTTCACATTCAGTTGCCAAATGGTTCTGGCTTCTTAGTGAAACCAGGGAGGCGAGGAATCAAGTCGGCATGACAGCATGCTCTTCCTCTGCCGACAGGCAACCCATCTGCTTTCATGGGTAGTGTCTACTTAGTAGGAGATAACACACATGCCACTCTGTGTGCCATGTCTAGGAGACACAGGTGTAATGCACCTGGAAAACCTCTCAAGCCAATCATGGGCTTAAGCAATGCATGAGCTGCCCCTGAGGCCTCCTGCAGGACCGTAGAGGAGTGTCCCAGTCCAAGGGACTGTGATTGAGCTGTGGTTCTCATGGCAAACAGGCACCCCCTTTCTCTCTGTAATTTGAAATACATCCATGGTTATATATGTCCTTCACATGTCCTATCTAAAAAAAAAAAAAAAAAACCTCCCTTCACTCATTTGCACAGACCATAGGAATTTGGGTAATGTCACCATTGTGTGGATAGTACCTAAGTTCAAACACTTCAATATTCATTGCAATGAAACTAAGCATGTCACTAGGTTGCTCTTGTAAGCTTCTCTTCCTAGCAGTGAATGACTATTTATAAGGAAGAGCACGAGTGCCTGTTTTTATTTTGCAGCAATGTAAATTGTTGTGTTCAAATTTAGATGGTTTAACCCCACATACTCTGTGTTGAGAGTAGAATACATTCATTTGGATCTCATTGTGCCAGGCTATCCAAAAGCAGTTCAATAGCTGAGCTATGGCCAGATGTTGCTTATGTACACCTTCCCTTTGCATTCTTTCCTAGTTATCACAGTAGTTCTCACTTTCTAAAAAGCATACTTCTAAGACCATGTCCTAATGTAGTTATGTGTATAGGATGTCAAAATTGTGGAGTTTTCATGTTAGTGCCACTCTGATTTGGATTTAATGTTCAGCTTCCCTGTTGCTTACATATAGATATAAGCTTTGGTATCTATAAGGATGTAGGTTACTGATTCCCAATCTGGTTTTTGCAAAACATTCATGCATGTTTTGGTGGCATTGTATCATCAGATGGAAATTCAGTACTTTGATTGCCCAAAGCTTAAAGTACTTATTTAAGTAACCTTTTGAGCAGTATTGCTAGTAGTTGTATACCTAAATCAGTTGATGATCAACTGGATCTCCTCAATTCTAAAGGAAGTAACTTTAAATGTTTTCTTGTCTTCTAAGGTAAGTAATTTTGAAAAGTATATGCAATAAAATTGAAAAAAATAATTTGACAGGGCTATCATGATGGAAACATGGCAAGCCCAGCTGCCCTTTACATCCTCTGCATGGTGACTTCATCCATTAAGTGGTTGTTGTTAATTTTTTAAGATGCACATAGATTACAAAGCTCCATTCCCCCATCATGTGCAAGAATACATGCAAAAAAAAAATACCCTTATATGTTATACTCCTGATTTCACCACACCAAAATCAAGTCAAAGATAGAGGATATGGATGATTCATATTTGATTATTAATTTTGTGTAATGTTTCTCGTCTAGGTTCATGTTATTGCTGAGTCTTGACAGATTCAGACAATGGCAAGCAGCAGCAAATACAATTTAAAGTGGAATTCCCACCATGTGGAGACCTTCAACAGCTTCGATACACTCAGAAGCAGGGAGACGCTAGTAGACGTTACGCTGTCATGTGAAGGACAGTCCCTTAAAGCCCACAAGCTGGTTCTGTGTGCAGGGTCGGGTTATTTTGAGCGAGTGCTGCAACGTGATAGTAATCACAACCCTGTGATATACTTCTTTGGAGTGGATGCCCATCTCCTGAAGTTTCTAGTTGATTTTATGTATGTGGGAGAGGTGGACATCCCATCAGTGGACTTGGAGAGGTTTATCCAGCTGGCTGAAGCCCTGGAAGTGAAGGGACTAAAGGGAGACCGCTCTAAGACATCATCTTATAATACTAGTGCTTTGGCATCAGCTGCGACCACCATTCCCGTTTCTGACGTCCAGGATGCCCTTGCTCACAAGCGCAAGGCTACTGCCTGGCAGTCCTATGATGATGAACCCCAGTATGCTAAAACCCCTCGGCGTAGCTTGCATACTACACCGAGTCTGATCTCTCAGGGAAATGGTCCCTCTCCAAGGGTGATACCTCGGGTGAGTCTTCTTTCCTCTGTATGGATCATTCGTTCCTTTTTCCAATGTTTTCACTGTTCATAATTTTCTATCAGAGTGCATCTGGGAGTGTATCAAGTGCTAGTAGTTCCACATCTGGTCCAAGTGCATCTACCAAAGAGGAGCCTGTGATCAAAGACGAAGTTGTAGATATTGCTGAGGAAGAACCTGATGAAGGTGAAGAGCAGGAGCAGTTGGTAAGTGTTGTTTTATATGAACTGTGGGAAATTCTATGTGATTTAAAGTTGAAGTCATTACACTCTGCATTTTCTTTTTAAAGGATGAGCAGGAGGAATGGGATGAAGAGTCACATGCATCCTACTACGCTGAGGCAGAGGGTGAAGGGGCTCCCCCAAACAACCAGGACATGCCTCAGAATATCCCTCCTGAAATCAATCCTTCTGTGAGTTGACTGCTTGCTCTCTTTTTGCATGCTGATGTAGCAGTGACTGTAATTTGAAAAGAAAGTACTGAATGATGCCCACATTCTCATAGACAGCCCCTTTAACCCTTTTGCTGCAAATGCATTTTTTAGACTTTTTCCCGTAAATGTCTTCAATTATGCAAAATATTGAAATGTTAGATATTGTAGCATGTTGCTATGGTTTAATGGGAATAAGATGAACAGTGAAACTGTCATGTCACTATTTCCCAAAAAAGGTATATCAGACTCAGTTTGACTCTAATTGAACATTGCTTCAAAAGGGTTAATAGTATTTAAATGAGGAGAAAAACTCCAATTTCATTTGAAACTCTGCATGAGACCTGTCACTGCTAGCTCATTTTTAGTTGCCTTCATATTGATATTTTCGATTGATTTCGATTGATATCGGTAACTGGAGAGTTTAAAAAAGTCAATATGTGTATCCTTCGGCAGCAATGCGAGTTAGAAGTCACAGACTGCCTAGCAACAATGAAAGTACATATATGGCAAGGATGAATCTTCTGATTGACAAACTGAGTCATGAGTTCATACATTTTAAAGCTTTAGTGTATGGAAAGGAGTAGATACTTGAACAATGAATATAAGTTGATCTGTACTTGGTTCTAATGAGTAAACTGTGCCACATTGGTTTGAAAGTAATTACATTTATTGATGAGTCATTTGATATTCAGGGAGACTCTCTGTGCAGGGCAAGTTTTGAGAGTTACAGGTTTTTTTTCTGATTTTACCAGTTACTTGGTTGTCTACTGAGAATCGCATGAATACTTTTTCTGAAAAATAAAAATTCCTGGTTTGAGCATAGGTGGTATTCCTTGCATTAGTAATTTAGGAAGTAAGAAAGGGTGTGTCTGTATAATATATAATTTCATAAAGACTTGAGGAAAGGGGAGGAAATTGAGACATGAAAAAGGTATGAACAATGTAGTGTTTAATTCCACTATCCCAAAGGAAGGTAGTGATGGAATTGAAATACAAAAAGAAATACACCACTGGAAATTATGTGTGTGAACAGATTCATCTTCACACAAGGGATCTGGGTGGAAGTTGGTCCAATACATTGTATGGTAGACCAATTTGCATTGTTTGCAATAAGCTTTTCTATTTCTGCATTTTGGATGCTCTGGGTTTAGGTATCACATGCAATTGTTACTATGGTTTGATTTTGTAATATTGTATCTGCAGTGGTACAGCCAGTAGGTCAACTGGGTTTCCTGCTAGGTATGGTTCAAATACTTTTCAGATATAGTTCAGAATATGTAATGTTATATTCTATGAGAGATGGCTCTCTACATGTGATGTATTATCTTCATGGGATATGTTCTTGCCTGTTACTCAAAATTTTGGAATTAGAATAAATTTGTTTTGATATTTGTGCCCTTCAATTGATCAGATGCTAAGATGTAGATCTTTTTTATGAGCTCACCTTATTCATAGTTAGTATCAGTCTAGCTCCACACAGAGAAAGGCTGCAAGCAAATACTGGTACAATAAACTGACCTAATGGAGGGTTCATCCTGCTTAGGATGTGTTCTTATGTGAAGATCTTGAGAGTTTTTTTTTTTTTTTCAGGAAAAGGGAAGAACCATGTCTTACACTTTTTCTTTACAAATTTCTTATTGGCATCGTCACTTCTTTCTTTCTTGAGCTTAATGCTTATTCTCATTTGAGTAATATTTTTTATGCTCATATTTCAGTTGTAGTCTTTTAATTATTCCTGTCTTTCTTTTTTTACTGTGGGATTCTTTGCTTTTTTGCCATTCCATCTGAAAGCAATTGGCAGCACACCCTTTTACTCAATTCAATTCCAAGAATGCTAGCAGTTTTTATTAAGTCATTTATGCATTCATCTGTTACCAAATAATGATAATGTTGCCATTTGGTGATAAAGTTTTAACACATCAGTTGCCAGTTTGGCAAATGAATATTTCATGACTTCTTTTTACCCAAGAGGTTGCAGGGTACAGAGTACCATCTCAAAGCTTGAACATGACTTAGTAACATGAACCTGCAATTATGAGGTCCAGTTTAATATGGGATCCACCATATGGCAGTGCTTCATGTTTAATTTTACAATGTGTCTAGTTTCAGTTGTGAAGGTTTCTGAAAGTTTTACTGAATATTTTAGCCATGCTCACTTTGCCATCCTCCTGGCATTCATAATAAAGTACTTTTACAAACTATTTAGGAGTGTTTCCTGAACATGGTAGAGAAAAATGATTGTTTTTGGTTGAAACATGGCATAAGTCTTCTGATGTGGCTCAGTGCATCTTGTGGGATCCATTGCATTAGTTCATCAACTACATATGCTTTGATTCTTGGACGTTATGAAAAATTACATTATGAGAAAGCTCAATGGAGCTTGCATACTTGATCAACCAACTTATTCATATTTAATCATGTATCTCTCCACTTTTCTGGCTTAATATGACTGCCAGGTAGGCATAAAGCAGCACCAGGGACCCAAGGTTTATGAGAACTCCATGGCTAGGGTAGTGGGACCACATTACAATGGACTCTGGTTAAAATCTTTATGTGCACTCTGTGATTGTCTCAAATGCTGGGTGAAGGGTAAAGAGTCCTTGTAAATGTTTTGGTTATCATGTATTGTAACCAAGTGTTGAGTGCCTGCAAAATGTATGGTTTGATAGTGAATATTTACCACAAAAACTGAAATTTGTTGGATCTGTCTTTAATGGGTCTTGTTTTGAATTTCTTAGTACTTGACAGAAGCTCCCATTCTGTGGGGATTCTTTTGGGCATACTGACATCAATCAATGTTGTGGTGAACCTCACTATTGGCTTATTGGTCTACATGCTCTGATGCTAAGCTCAACTGTTAGGAATGACTCAGACCTTATGTACTTGTTTCAATGTCCCATTTCATATGTGAAACTAAGTGAAAATTTAATATCTAGTTTCATAACTCAACATACTAACACCACTTTGGATGTTTATGCAATTCCATTGTTATCCTGCTTTGAGGTCATTAATTTTTTCAAATTGCCAAATTGCATTTATTTGGCTTTCTTTTATGGGATTGGTAATTGATTTCATATATCAATGTCAAATAGGTATCATGTAGGTAGATCATAATACACACAAATTGTAGATGAATACAGATAGAATAAGAACTTAGAGGCAGAGGAAATGAAGGTTGAAAAATATATGAATTCACTTTTGAGCATTGAGCACTGATGCTCTGGGGTCCCCTGGTGACCTGATGGCAACTGCCAGAAAGTAAAATATTTAATTGTTCACAACTACTTGTTGCTTTTGTACCTGCATCTTACTCTGATTGAATGTACCAAGAGTTTTGCTCATTGTTATTTCATGAAATCCCTCAGGAAGTGGTACATCTCCCATGTTGTGTAATAAATATTGCTATATTATTATCTATATCCAGTCTGTGATAGTGATGGTGTTTTCTGCACTCTGTTAAAGGGAAAGTATCTCTGAAAAGGAGTGTACAAGGAACTCTTTTAGCCTCTAACAATTGAGGCTAAAATTATACTATTCAACTCAAGGTCCATCAGAGCCGGGGAAGAAATCAGTCCCTTTTGTCTCTGGTAATGAAATGATGATACTTGAGCTTAGATTTTTGGTTAACCCAAAAGGCTGTCCCTATCCTCTGATTTAGTCATTGCATCTTCATTTTTATAAACCTTTTGTCAATTTTATTTATGAAGGCCTTCTCTCTCTTTGTTGACCATGTTTATTTTCATCCATGTAGCTCAGTATGACAAGATGCCCTTAAGACCCCACTTAAGTAATACTGCTCTGATGGATCAGTTTATTGGTAGATTATTGAGTATTTTATCTGTTTGCACATACCAATATGAGCTAGGCCATGTTTCCAGCTAGTGATTCATGTAGAAAATTATTGGTTTATGCCTAGTATCATACATGGATGGCTCCATATGAATTGGCCAATGCCAATCTTATAGATTCATGTTTAGTTTTCAGCTAACTCCAATCATTTCTCAGTTTAGAGTATCATATCTTAGCCAATAACCCCAGGTCTAGGCTGTCAGGGATAGCTCATGCCTCTGGAGTCCATTGATGGTAATGTTGGTAGGACTAAAGTTTCTAACGTCCAGATGCATGCATGGTTATCGAAGTGGCATTGTTTAAAAATTGGTCTAGTTAAAGCCTTTGGCCTAACATTTGGCCTTGTATTTTAAGCTTAACACTACATTTAGCCCTTTAGTTTGCACTAGATAAGTTCAGTTAGATATAGGCATGAGGATAGCCATCCTTGCATTTGGTCCTTGTTCTCTACCTTTGGAAGTGATACAAAACATGGATTTTGTAGGATCTTGTAAAGTTATATATGTAGATAATTAGTTTTTTAATCTGGTTCATAGAAACTTGAGTTGTAGACCTATTATAAGGGTTCATTTTGAATTAGGAAGCAGCATCTTCTCTATTTCATGGCAGACTAGTAAATCACATGGTTTGCCACATGAGCAAGTGCAGTGTGAGATGAATGGACCATCTAAGGCCCACAGGTTTACTTCATATTCCAATTTGAATTCAGAACCAAAGTGATATGTAGCCCTTGTTGATACATGAATGTAAGGGGGTGGTCTTTGTGCTCTCCTTGCTGGATCTGGCAGCACAGATATGGTGCCTACACTTTGCCACATTGAATAGAATTTGAGAATACCTATGCCTGCACACATGCATTCCACCATACCTGAAATACCATTTTTACTTTTGTACCAGTGCTTTGTGCTCTATACATGGTTCCAGATGTATTAGAGGAAGCAGATGTACATATGTATCCCAGCAAGATTGGTTTTAAGAAGGCAGTAATATTGGTATGCATTTATAATCACATTTCTAAAAGAGTAGGTTTATGTTAAGGTGTTATAACTATTATACAAATAAAGAAGTTTGCATGGCTTTATTCTGCAAGCTTGCTTTGTTTGATAGTCTTCCTCACTCTCCCAGGAACTGGATTCTAAATGTATGTAGGCATTGTTTCTATACATATGAAAAACAAAGTTAGTAACCTGAATTTAGCATATGTTCTGATGTTTGCAACCATGTATGCATCTCCACACATTTATTATATTTTTGTGGCCATGCATATTTAAACTACATGTGGTGTGACATGTGCTTTTCCAATGTATGACAACACACAGTGATATTTATGGGTATGCAGTTGTGAGCATATTTCGTTGTGGGACATTTACCTTTTTGGGTGGTATTTGAGTCAGTAGCTACTTAGTTTAACCTGATGTATTGTCTTCTATTCAACCTAGTGCTAGTGCAGGCGTAATATTTTATTTGATATTTCAGTTGTCAGGTATCAATAACTCCTTGCACTTGTAGTCATATTACACCAATAGCTGATCCCCAAGATGTATCAGCAGAAATTCTAACTTGAATGAGTTGGATGCTGCAGTACTTGGGGTTCTAACTGACCAGAAGCATAACCATACTTGTGGATCCCTGTATTGCAAAATATGAATGACAGACTGGTCATTACATTGCTGTCGATATGACCTCCTTTGCCCGTTTTTAATTGCCTTAGGTCAGCAAAAGAATTAGGCCAAGAAATTGCACTAATGATAGGTCCTTGAAAAGGGAGAATGATTAATTTAAATAAATTATTGAACCGTAGATTTTCCTCTGTGATTTGTTTAACTATAAAATATCCTGGGCAATTGGTGTTACTGTAGCAGTTTGGTCTGACTTTATTGCATGTCAGCAACTGCAGTTCCTCTCCTGTTCCAGAGCATTATGGCCTACTCTGAGTATGTGTGGTGTGGACATGCTGCTAACACTACCACGAAGATCTGGTTCTGCGGTGTATGCCCATACAAGAGTGTCCATAAGCAGAACACAGAGCGTCATGCTCTCCAGCACTCTGGGGCGAAGCCATTCATGTGCCGCATTTGTGGGAAATGTTTCCGACAGCAATCGCATCTGACCAACCACTCTGTCACTCATTTGAAGATGAATGCTTCGTAGTTCAAAAGTCGATCAGATTATCAAGTGCAGGAAAATCCTGCATTCCTGTCACAATTTGTTTGTCAGTGCTGTGATGAAAGTCACTCAATTTAAGTCCTGCTATGAATTGAAAATTTCCAAGAATATTCTATTTCAGTTATTCAATGTCTTTAAAATATTATATTCTCTGCAAACCATCATTGGTATTCTCATATTAATTAGCAAGCACTATTGTGATCATTTTCCAGTATATAAAACCAATGAAAAGGGGTCTCTCTCCTTTGGTAATTAATCTGTTTAGGCAATTGAGGCACAGAGTCTTAAAAATGTGTCATTTGTTATGCTTTTCCCTGGAATTCTACTAAGAAAATTTAACACTGGGATCACAGCAGCCTTTGCCCCTCTTGCATGAAATTTTATTCGTATTCCAGACGATCATTGCCATCAATCAATATGTATGGAGCGGGTATACTCCCGAGAACCTGAAAATATGGTTCTGCAGTGTGTGTGCTTACAAGAGTGCCAGCAAGAACTCTGTGTCTCTACACGCCCGTGTACATTCTGGAGAAAAGCCATTTCAGTGTGATGCGTGTGGACACTACTTCCGGCAGAAGATTCATCTCCAGAGACATCAAGTCTCTCATATGATTCACGGACATCAATGAGTTCATTGATATCATCTGCTGGGGGTATTCTTTGATGTTGTGTGAATGAAAAAATGTCTGCAAATATGTATGTCTTATCGCTATATATCACCTTAATTTTATGGTTATTGCTGATTTCATTGTGGTCTGCTATGCAGTGCATTATCATGTACTTTCCTTTTGTCTTTTCATTGCAAGAGGATTATTTTATTAGTCTAGCGACCAGTTTTTGCATAAGTATGTTCATTTGTTTCGACAAGTTTATATCCCTGTAATTTGGGGGTGGTTTTTTCATTGGCTTGTTTGAAACCATGATTGGTATTGCCAATTTAAAAATATTAATGTTTCCTTCAGTTGCTCATTCTTTCAGAGATTTCTTTTAAAGGAATTTCATTTATACTGGAACTGGGAATGAATTTCAAAAATAAAAGTTACCCAAGACATTTACTCTCATTGTTTCATTTTGGTATGGACCAGAGGTTTGTAATGCTGTGCAGAAAATCATGCATCATGACTGATGCAATCTGTGTCAGAAGTTGATCATGCAAACTACATGGCTCAGTTGTCATGACAGTCCAATGGAGTATGTACTGGGTACAGGCAAGATACTTTTAAGGAGCCGTTATTACATTTTGTAGCATTTGTTCATATCACTAAGGAGTCTTAGGATCTGATTGCCTAGATGCGAAGTACGCAATGAGTAAGTTCATTGATGGCATGGAATAGGTTATGCCAAAAAAAAAGGAACAAGTATGGCATGTTTCAAGCTCAATTTATAAAAGGTTGGTTGTGGAATATGGATGCCAACTGATCAAATATTTCTTGACTTTCTTGAGTGGTTTTTTGAGTTCAGACTGAATCAGCCGTCCTTCCTGCTGTCCATGGACTTTTGAGTTTTTCATGGTAGCACCCGTGCAACATGATGGTGCTTATTTACATTTGTTTACCAATGTTTATAAATTGTCATTTCACTTGTAACCTGAATTTGGAAGACTGGATATTTCTTGAGGTTTTTTTCCCATAAAAGCCTTGTCTGTATGAATGATAAATGCTGAAGTCTAAATCTAGAAGCAGCATTTTGACTTCATCATTCGTGAATTATTCCCAATGCTTTGTGTGAAACGCTGCAACCCTGAACACCTCTGAAAGCGACTGGTTTGGATGATCTGCACCTATTTGGGATTTTAAGTATGAGAAAGTACTTAAAGGTGTTCAACTAAGGACTTTATATGCAAGGTGGAATATCTTGCAGTTCTTGGATTCTGCAGGAATATAATTTGAACTTCATTGATTGATTACTTTTTGCTTCATCATGCAGATCTTTTAAGATATTTCCCATATTTGAACCTGTGCTTAATTTTCCATGGAAAGCCAAGAATTAACTACTCTCTAGGTGATAAGAACTTCTTAATTCATATGATTTTCCCCTGGAAAAATCATTTTGTTTTTGTCGAGACTTTAATTGTTTCATTAATTCATGCATTGGCCATTGCAGTGCCATTTATGCACCATCCTTGACATAACATCATCAACTGCCCTTGGTGCTTGCTTGATATCTTTCTCAGACACTAGAGGTACACATATCATATTCTCTTGCTCGCAGAGGCTCTACTCTACTTCTGCCAAGAATGCAAGGGTAGCATTGCTCTTAACAGGCATGTTTAAATAGGCATTAGATCAGTCTGTTGGATTTATCTTGAATGTTGAATTTTGCATATTCCATCAAGAAAAACCCTGTGAGATTGAAGTACAGGGCTCCCAGCTGCATGGTTCAGTGTTAGAGATTTTGCTGCATCAAGTCATAATGAAGGCTTAGACTTGTGTCTGCATGTCTTCACGAAGCCATGGGGGTTTATAAACATGTCTTGTGCTGATTGAAATTCCTACTTGTCTACAAGAAAATGATCTGGCTCTTGTCAAAAACTGAACAGGTTTTCGTTGCTTCCTTGAGTTTGTGTTTATAGTGCAATGTCATTTTGCCATTATGAAGAAATATTGTTTCATTTTCCCAGTGCACACAGTGTTCCTTGAAAGGTCTGCTTCACATTCATAAATGAATTGATAACAAAATGCACTGAAATCTATTTTACTGCCAAATACATTCAGTTGTGATGAACTTCTTTTCTGATTTCTTATGTTTTTTAAAGAAAAGTTCCATTTTCTTAAAACTCTTTGTTTTTAGGGTATGAAAGTAGCAAGTATAACTAGATGGAGCCTCTAAATAATTTTCATGGCAATGGAATCCTCAACATCAAGTGATCAAGCTGAGCCATTGGACTGACTTATAACTATTAGTTGGCTTTCATCTAGTCCATTTTGCATAATTTCAGGTCAATCTAAGTGTATGTATTCCCGTGGGAATCTTTTATTATCATGTTCATTTTAATATATTGAATCTGATTCTTGTCTTGTGTAGCTTATTTTTCTCCCCTCTTGGTGCCTTTAGCATGGCATTGTTTGGATTTTCAGGTGTCTAATATCATATTGATGTCATTTTTATTTAAGTGTCCAAAATTTCCCTACTGCCCTGAATAATTGTATTATCACAGGAGAAATGTTAAAGCTACACAATCATTCATATCATGGATCCAAATGAATTGTGTTCTGAATTCAGATTGACTTGGTGGATTGTGGATTGACTGCCTATGGATAAATTCTTTAAAATCATCATTGAATGATTTTAAACTCCTACAAAGTCAATGCAGATTCACTTATATTATTAAATATTTTTGTGCATTTGATTGTTGTGCCCATTTTGAAAGTAAGTTCCTTTCCAGACGGTCGAGGCCGAGGGGCTGTTTCTGCGCTGTGGGAAGATGTGGGCCAACAACAAACGCCTGTCTTTTTGTGGGATCTGTGGGTATTGCTCAATAAACAAGACAAATGTGATCAATCACACCCTGACTCACACCGGGGAACAGCCATATGCGTGTCGTACTTGTGGAATGCGGTTCTCGCGCAAGTCGAGTCTCAATCGCCACAGTGTCCGTCAGCACTGAAAATCGTGTTTTCATAATTTGAAGATCTTCTATTGTGTTTTACTGAAAGAGCTGTCCTTTTTCAAGTGCCACATTTTTTCTTTTGCTGCATTTATTCCACCTTGCAAAGTTGGAATCAATAAATTTCTGCAATTTTGGCAGAAGCAGTAGAGCTGGTTTGCAGTTTTATCCTGATGTTTTCATCAACACAGAAAAACTGGAATATGAAGCATCTTTGTACATCCTGCACTTACTTATCACTGCACTGATTTAGGACTAAATCCAGCTGCTCCAAGTCTATTTTATTCCCATAAAATAGATTGGCAAAACTACTCCTTAAGTTATGGCTTCAAAAACCAAACGAAAGCTATTAACCTTTTCCACTCGAATGGGCATACTCGCCCATTGGTACTTTGACTCTTGCACTCATTTGGTGCAGTATAGTATACCACAGATTAAAAGCCTCTTCATTCACTTGGGTGGGTCACCTTGCTGCACCAAACTTATCTGCCATGTAGTATAATGACTTGGCTATTGGTAATTGACTCTTGCACTCATTTGGTGCAGTATAGTATACCACAGATTAAAAGCCTCTTCATTCACTTGGGTGGGTCACCTTGCTGCACCAAACTTATCTGCCATGTAGTATAATGACTTGGCTATTGGTACAAAAGATTTTCTTAGCACATGCAGTTAGTTATATCATCTACTGTTGCTGCTCAGCATCAACTGACACAAGCCAACTGAAGTTTCGAGAACGTTTGATCATCCAGCTCGGGGGTGATGTACGGAATACGACACAGGATCGTAGAGGAAGATCATCAACTTCAGATCGTGCCGAGTGTCTCGACGGTTGTCTTCACCTTATTGACCAACTGCCAGATGGTCAGCTGAGAGATTGTGCTGTTTGCAGCAATAGAAAAGTGGCAAAAGGACGGCATAAGACAGCCTATTTCTGCAAAACATGTTCAAGAAATCCAGGCCTACATCCAGCAGGATGTTTCACACGTTACCACACTTTACAAGATTATAGGACTTATTAGACGTTGTTGTGGTAATTGTTGAATGTGTGTGTTCTTGATGTTATAATAAAATATTTTGTCTGAAAAAATTACGTATTTTCATTTTTTCGTTTTATGTGGTAAAAAATACGAGCTACTGGAAAAAACACATGAAAAAAAATTTGAGTGGAAAAGGTTACGGATATTTCAGATGTGTGTCTTGGGTGATCGACAACTCCAAGTGAATTTCATTTCATGCGTCATGCCTATCTTCAAAAAGTAATATTTTGAAAAGTAAGTTTGGAAGTAGTCATTGGTTGACTTTCCCTCATTTTGCACTCTTCTAATAAACAGAGCAGATGAAGTGTATGCATGGACTAAGGGTGCATTTTCATATCTCCTGACTGAATGACTAGCATGCTGTGAACAAAAATGATGCGACAAAATTTGTTCTTGCCCGCACTCTTTCGTGCTCGTTTATGTGCTGTGGATATGGGAGAAGCTTCTCACAGACGTGAAAAGGCATCATTGTTTCTCACGTTAAGTTCAAAGCATTTTCATGCATCCATCCACCTACCAATGAAATTTGGAATGCTGCTATGCAACAGTGGTTGGATTTGTTGAAGCACTCCTGAATGCTTCATAGTCTTATGAATCCTGAAGTCCTTGGTTGATGTGTCTCCAGTGCCTGTTTGGACTGAAGTTGTATTAGACCCAGACGGAGACCACGGTAAGAAACCGTTTAGTATACCACCGAGATACCTGGGACTTTCGGTGTCTCGAACCCAGTGGATATTAAGTCCTGAGTCTTCACCGTAACTGAACATGAACCGTGTAACGTTTGTTTGTTATTTAGAACTCACGAAACCAATTGTAATGCTTTTTGAGGGTTCCTAGATCCACTTCACATAGCTCTTTCTTTTCCAGACAATTGCAGCCGTTTCACCTTTCACCTGGAGCGGGAAGACTTGGGAAGACATACGTTTGCATTTTTGTGGCCTCTGCACAATGGCGAGACCGTAGTTCTGTTTACACTAGTTGGTGCAGAAGTGCGTGTGTCCGCTTGCTGGAGTGTACACGGTACTAACACCTTTCTGTAAAAGAGAGTTCAGGTCGGACTGTGCAGTGTTTGATGTTGTTCACAGGAAGTCCTGTTGATTCCTCTCGTGTTCCTCCTTCGCCGCCGCTTGGTCGCCTTTAGGACACTTGGTTGTGTGTCTATTTTTGAGGACTTCTTCATACCTGTCATGTGATTGTCTTGAGTGAGCCATGTATATACTTTTCGTACTGAGTGGACCTGTGTTCTGCTTGGATGTCAGGTAATAAAAGCTTTTGATCTCCACACCAGGACTCTCATTGAAATAGAATCACAACCATATACCATGTTTCAACTTGTGGTGAAAATACTTGATATTTTATTTATGATCTCAATATTCAGTGAAATCACCCGGTGACTGGATGGGTCTGGGCATTGCATATAAGCTCAAGCTACCCTTAATTTGGGGTTCAGCTATGTTAGTGTTTTGCAACTGGTTATATGGGAAGCATGAGAAGACAGTCATGCTCCTCTGGGTTTCCAGTTTCTGTATTGGACCCATTTCACACTGCATCTTTCTTTGCAGACGATTGCAGCTGTTTCACTGTATGCTTGGAGTGGACAGACTTGGGAGGACGTTCGCATTCATTTCTGTGGCCTCTGCAGCTATCGCTCGGTAGTCAAGACAAACGTGATCAACCATGTTTATACGCACACAGGTGAACAACCCCACAAGTGTAGTGACTGTTGTAGGAGCTTCTCCCTGAAGGCCAACCTAACACGTCACCAAGTTGTTGTTCATGGGAAATTCTGTTGAACTCTCTTGTGGTGCCCCATATCTCTATCAGTGTCTCTTTGTGATGTTTCTCATGGCTGAATTTTGTTCATTCTGTGTGTTACTGTGCAATTGATTTCAAACCAGACATAAATTGCTGCATTTATATGAATCTGTCTGCCCTCTGATCAACACCAACTGCTGTGATTGGTAGCTACAAAACAGGCACAGATCACTATCAAGTCAGGATGTGGAGATGTGCACAAACTCTATTATGAGGAATGACTAGATGAACACTTATCCCTTAAGTAGGTTCCTTCAGTTCCTTCTGTGTCCATGACAATGCGAGAAGCAGGGCATAGAAATGTAGTGGTCTCTAATCTTCTAAGACAGGCTTCCGTGCTTTGGAAGAGTGAAGTATCATAATATTAGGTCATTAAGGAAAGGGTGAGAGGGAAATGCCTTCACTACAGCTTGCATGTGAGCACTGGGATCTTGGTCTAAAGTGAAGGATGACCAGCATGTGAATTTACTCCAATAGCATGAGTGGCCGTTTGAGCAATCCAGGAAGGGATAGGATAGGGTCTGTCCCTTCTCATGAAAAGTTCAACTTTTGTAGCACCCTCTGACATGGAGCTTATCCCTCCTATGTTCATTTGAGACTCAGATTTTCCAAAGATTGTTAGTTGTGAAGCTAATTTCTGAGCTCCTTGAGGATTTACTTGAAGAGCTCTTTTTCCTCTGCTATCTCCATGCTATCTTCTGGAGATCATGAATCCATGATCATGGCTATTTGGCTCTCTTTCCCCGATCGTTGACATAGAAATTTTTCCCACAGACGATTGAGGCAAGCGGGGAGTACGCATGGAGCGGAAGGACGTGGGACAAGGCTCGCCTTCATTTCTGCAGCTTGTGCGACTTTTGTTCGTCGAGGAAGAACGACGTCACCCGTCACGTCCGCACGCACACCGGAGAGCGACCGTACGCCTGTGATGAGTGTGGGAAGAGCTTCTCTCGTAAGGCACATCTCAATGAGCATAAGCTTCGTCACATGAAGTGAAGCCTTCTTGATTGGTTTTATTTATCTGACTGTCAATGCTCTGATTGTAAATAAATGAATTTCTGCATTTTATCGATGGAATTTTATGCAGCTCTCTTGAGAGCTGTGCTCTGCTGCACTGTTGAATGTCACATGAAGAAAGTTGAACCCTTGTGCTGGTTCCATGTACATTTGTGCCTTTGATAAGAGAGGAGCAACATGAAAGGAATGCATGAGCTCTCATATATTTTATATTTCCCTTCCTTACAAAAAAGGGAAAATTAAAAAATGACATCACACTTTAAAAAACATTCCCTGACCCCTAGGACTGAAATTCCTTGAACACAGTTGAGGCTTTCCATATTTTATGCATAGCAGGTTCTAAGTTTGCACACAAAATATATTTTCCTCAGCTTGTCCCACTACATTATGAGGAAGAGAGCTTGCAGCCTTGACAGGTTTGTTCACTTTCCTCTGTAGTTTAAACCAAGATTTCTTCTGCAGACGATTGAGGCAGACGTGGAGTATGCCTGGAGCGGAAGGACGTGGGACGACGCGCGCATTCATTTCTGCAGTTTGTGTGCCTTCTGCTCGGCAAAGAAGACCGACGTCACCCGACACATCCGCACCCACACGGGGGAACGACCTTATGCTTGCGACGAGTGCGGGAGAAGCTTCTCTCGGAAGACTCACCTGAACCGCCACAGGAGTACTCTTCATCCTGTCACGAGTTGAGAGCAACATTGCATCACTGCGGGCTTCCAGTCAGACGTGGGAACACAGATCTCATCACACCTAAGATGCATTTGAATATCGTTGGTCAGCCTTGGCTTATTGTGAAGTGGTGTTAAGCTGTTATGTTCGACAGTTTCATCATTGACTTCTTTCATGTCTGCTGAATATTTAATAAACAGATTGCTGAATCAGAATAGTGGTTCTATTGAATTTTTCTGCCAAGAGACAGATATCCTGTGTCACAAATTGAGATAGCAAACCCTGAAAACTAGGAATGTGTTTGGTTCATTCTGATTCAAAGAAGGCTGCACACTGATTTGCAGAAGCGAGCCATCCTCAAAAATTTTCCCTCGAGGTAGTATACCATTTAAACAACCCTGTGAATGAAACAAACTAGGGAAAGCCCTGATGTTCCATTTGTAAAGGTCATCTGGGTGAGGAAATCATTTTAACAATTGCTATTTTTGACCTAATCTCATAATACTGGTACTGGTGGGATGATCATGCTACTACAACTGTATGAGCTGGTTAAGAAGTTGTAATATGCTTGCAATCACTTGAAAGTTAATGTCTTAGTAGTAGAAAGGGCACATGAAAATCCATTATATGGTAATGTTTGGGTACAAAATGAGTCTCAGCTGTGGTTTGCATGGTTGAGGTTACATTAGTGCTGAAAAAAGTTTTTCTTGGGCTTTTTGAGCCCGTTGTTAAAGTTGTCAGAGAAGTATAATTTACACTCTCATCAATGCAGGTTTGACTTCAATAGTGCCTGCTTCAAGAGAAGGGTGCAAAAGTCCTACATAACCTAACCAAGCCTCAGTAAAACCAATCCAGGTGTTCGGTGTTAACATTTTTGTACTCAATTTCCATTTTCGACTGAATTCCATGGAATGCTCTCATGCCTTGCAACTTTGGTGTTTTTTCAGACAGCGGAACAGGTAGCGCCCCTGGTGTGGTGCGGCATGACATGGAGCGAATTCAGGTTGTACTTCTGCGGGGTCTGCAACTACCGGTCGGTGTCCAAGCGGTCCGTCTCCAAGCACGTCCTGACCCACACGGGCGAGAGGCCCTACAAGTGCGAGGAATGCGGGAGGGGGTTCAGCGATCCCTCCAACCTCACCCGGCATTGCCGCACCCTACACCCCAAGCTGCGCTGAGCATCGTGATGCAAATTGATTCAGTTGGGTTCCACCTTTTGGGGTGACTTTTTAGAAGTGTGGTGAAATTTGAAACTGTGCTGTGCCAACCTGATGGAAGAGCTCATCATTTTGGTCTTTTATGTGTTGGTTGAAAAGCTCCTATAACTCCGGTGAAGAAAGTTGGAGAAGTGGAAGTGCCGACCTTGCTCACGTATTTCTTCTCCAACACCCAGGTTTTTCTCAAAGACAATGTGTAACACATCTCTCCTCAGGCTATTCTGCTTTTGGTCATGGCAATTCATCTGATCCTGTTCTGTGGAGTCAGTGTTTTCCTCAATGAGATATATTTGTAATTGGCTCTTTTCAGTATATCATGATATAGAGTTATCATCCATAGCCTCTCAATTGATTATCACCTAATGCCAGAGGGTATCCGTGGGTGAACGAGGAGACGAAGCAATATTTCCGCCTCATACAACATGCCGACGAACATTCATGATGCTTGAAAAGTAAGAGTATTCTTGGTATGGGAAGTCAAGGAATGGGATCCACAAAGAATGTCTACGTTCCTTGTGGATCCTGTACAGAAAGTTGTCACATGGCACCACGAATATCATAAATTAACCATTGCCAAGTATGCCTGTGAGGATGTGCAGTAGGCTGATTTGTTGCATGTCTGCCATGGTTTTTTCTGCCATGTAAAACTTTTTACCATGAATCTGAAATGTAATTTCACCCCATTTACACATTTGGATTCTGCTCACTGCAAAAGTTCATTTCCATGCAGGCACTGGAGATGAAAGTCTTCCTATGGAGTAGAAGTGGAACAAACAACAAACACATACCATTTCTGCATAATGGTATCCATCACTCAAAAAACAGTTCGACAATCAATTTCGTCACTTGGGATATCTGAATCAAGCTTAAATATAAAATTATTATTTGGCTGCTCAAAGTAAGTACTTGAACATCACGACCATCAATTGCCTGTCTGGGGCCGAAAGACTGCCATTCTCGTGTACGTCTAATCCATACAATCCTAATCCTAATCCATACCGTTTTGCTTCATTTCACTCAAATCCTTCAGACATTATTTGATCACTTCACATTTTCCTTGACATTCTGTTTGAACATATTCCCCATCTTGGCTACCATTTACATACTTCATTCATCATTGTTTTTCAAATAATGTTAAAGGGTTGTCAAATTGATACACTTCAGCTTTTCTTGAAGAAGTATATTATACTAATGGATCCCATGGATGAGGGAATCTCCCAGTTCTATCTGATCTATTTTCATCCTGGTGAGAAAACATGTTCATAAAATATCTTAAAATGGCACAATCAGAAAGCTCAGTGAAAAAAAAAAGATACAATAAAGATTCAGTTATAAATGATTCCCCTTAAATCGTCTCATTTAAAAAATAACCAGGGAATTCACCAATTAGGGAAACCCTCTGTCAGTGCCCAGCCCAGGTCCACTTGTACAAGTCTCCTGCCCTCTGGCAATTTCCAGAATTGGTCTCTCCATGATTCTGTGTGCTCTTCACTGGAAGAGCAAGGTTTGGATTTTTAGGGTAATACTTGCTGAATCAGTATTTTCCTTTTTAAATGAATCATCATTTAACTCTTAACACTTTCCAGTGAAAGTTTTTATTGCAGGTCAAAAGCCATAGCTGTAACTCTCTACCCAAAAATATAAAATTATTATTTGGCTGCTCAAAGTAAGTACTTGAACATCACGACCATCAATTGCCTGTCTGGGGCCGAAAGACTGCCATTCTCGTGTACGTCTAATCCATACAATCCTAATCCTAATCCTAATCCATACCGTTTTGCTTCATTTCACTCAAATCCTTCAGACATTATTTGATCGCTTCACATTTTCCTTGGCATTCTGTTTGAACATATTCCCCATCTTGGCTACCATTTGCATACTTCATTCATCATTGTTTTTCAAATACTGTTAAAGGGTTGTCAAATTGATAGACTTGAGCTTTTCTTGAAGAAGTATATTATACTAATGGATCCCATGGATGAGGGAATCTCCCAGTTCTATCTGATCTATTTTCATCCTGGTGAGAAAACATGTTCATAAAATATCTTAAGATGGCACAATCAGAAAGCTCAGTGAAAAAAAAATATGCAATAAAGATTCAGTTATAAATGATTCCCCTTAAATCGTCTCATTTAAAAAATAACCAGGGAATTCACCAATTAGGGAAACCCTCTGTCGGTGCCCAGCCCAGGTCCACTTGTACAAGTCTCCTGCCCTCTGGCAATTTCCAGAATTGGTCTCTCCATGATTCTGTGTGCTCTTCACTGGAAGAGCAAGGTTCGGATTTTTAGGGTAATACTTGCTGAATCAGTATTTTCCTTTTTAAATGAATCATCATTTAACTCTTAACACTTTCCAGTGAAAGTTTTTATTGCAGGTCAAAAGCCATAGCTGTAATTCTCTACCCAAGGATTTTTAGGGTAATACTTGCTGAATCAGTATTTTCCTTTTTAAATGAATCATCATTTAACTCTTAACACTTTCCAGTGAAAGTTTTTATTGCAGGTCAAAAGCCATAGCTGTAATTCTCTACCCAGGTAGGAGCACGATTTGCATGGATGGACAATACTTGCCAAAGGGTTTTGTGGCATGGAGAGAATTTGAAATCTCCATGCAGAATTTTGATGAACCGATGTAACAGAATTGTCTCAAAGTGCTCTCATCATATCAGCCTCCCACTAGGGAGATCCCAAAGAATTTGATTTTGCTGCTTCCATAATTTTGTTTAACCACTGGGAGAGATGACATCATGACATCCAGGGAAAAGGAATTTATTGAAATCATTAAAGTATAATCAATTATTCACAGGTCATTACCAAATGGTGGTCCATAAACCATTAAAAGTTAGAGTTCTCAATTGGAGAGCTGGCATGGCTTCTTTCTCAACAGCTTCTTGGACTGGCAGATGGATCCACAACAGCAAAGCATATTTCCTGACATGAAGTGTGGAAGGAGACCAAGATGCCATTAGGCATCTTGATGGTATGCTCATTTGGTGCATCCCAGTAGAAATATTGTCAGTAGAATTTGGAGAATGAGAATGGGGAAGGGAAGGAGACCACAACTCAAGGTCAGCTGGGCTTTAAACTCATACCTGTAATCAAAGCAACATCAGTTAAGTTGACGGGACTCTCTAATGACGCCAGCAGGAGTCTCCAAAAACATCTCACTTAAGTACTGGCACCTGCAATGATTCCTTCCTTAATCGATGATATCACAGTCGTCAATGTACTCTTCAGTACTGGCATATGGTATCAGATACTCCACTCCTCACCCTCTAGCAAGCAGTCCACACATTGAAGGAGCATTGCCCATGGTGGGACAAGTGGGATGAACTGCTGTTGAGTCAGGGAATATGCCAATATACCTTATGGTATATTGATCTTAACATGACCTTGATCTAAAAAAACTTGTGGATTTTTTAAAATTCTGTGCCCTATTAAAGAGATTCAAAGTTCTCCTTGATTCTGGAAAATCCCATGGCAAATTCATTAGAGTTCAAGTTTTCATGACTCCATTTGAAACCGTTGGAGTACAATGTTCGAGAACAAATTACAAAGGGATATGATACCACGAGAGATTCGCTTGCTGAAAAAACGTCAGGACCTCAGTAATTCTCATGATGAGGTGCAACGAGGTTCAGGCCAGAGTCCTCTATATAACAGCTGTATCTTCACATCTCCATTCTTCTAAATGAGTCATTCCCTTCCTGTAGTCTTTTGGAGAATAAGCTGGGTGTTTTAAGGCCACCTCTCTTTCTCATATCAGGAAGTAGTCTGATCCTTGTCTTACTGTTTGAATGCATTCAAATGTTAGAGTCAAGGTACATTTTATTTTTTTAAATTTGGAGTGTCTTATTGTAAAACTCTTCTACCGTACTATGTCTTTTTCCCTCTGTCCTTAGGAGGAGGTTGGTCAAGATAAGAATCTAAGTGGTTCTCGGTAACTACTGGAGAGGGTTCCACTTAGCCACTCTTACCTTCAACCTGAAAATAAATTTTTCTTGGGACATTGGCAATCATAGCTTGACTAGGATATGGATATGTCACACTCCATCAAGAAGCATAGAAACATTCTCTAGATCTCTTGTGGCAGCACCTCACATAAGTATTAGCAGGAACTATTCATGTGTTTGCAACAAAATGCCTATTGCTTTTGTCGTAATCATAAGTCTGCGTCGAACCCATGAGCAAGCAGTAAATAACCAAGGTCCAAAGGATAATAAGTATCTATCACGTGTGTCACTGGAGGCGATGATGAATGGAAGGCATGCTGATTGTCAAGGGAAATTCTCTCCTATGTGTGTCTCTTAGGCCCTGTCCTCCACATTCTAATTCCAGAACTTCTGCATACTTTCCCCCCAAGGTAATTCTACAATCCGTTAGGTGGCTTGTTCTTGGGGGAGTGGAGTGTGGATTTTAAATCGCTAAAATGATTTTGCCATACAAAGTCCAAAACATCAGATAGGCTCATTGCAAGAAAAACATTTGGATGCCCAAGAAGAAAAGCCTTCATTCCAAAACTGGACTAGAAGGAGATTTGATTCAGGCACAACACTCTCGCGGGAAGCAGAAACGACAGAGCCCGATGAGCACGACCATCACAATTATCATGACGATGACAATCACTCGAGAGCAACGGGTGAGAGATGGTGCTATGAATCACATCCATGAGGAAAGGCACTCTGGAGATTCCTGAGATTCATACACTGTATCCATCTGAAGAAATATTTTGCTGGGAAAGGTATCAGACTACATGCAAATAAAATGAAATCCCATGAATGAAAGAAAAACCCATCATCATATTTCAACCATAACAAAAAATTCAACAGAATACCTATTTTTCAACTCAAATAATTCTTGTCTAGATACTCACAGACTCAAGGTAGTAATTATATATTTAAAAATATTAAAAATTCATTTTGACAAATACTGAAGATGGAAAATGGCAACTGTCAGCCATGGTTAGGCAAATTACATTGGTTAGGATTAGGCTGTCTTGCACTCCTCCAATAGATCTATGGCATGATTAGCACAAGGACTCATACTTGTCAAAAAACACAGATGAGAAAGAGGAAAATTGTCTTCAAGTGGTTAATATCCTAACAGCCTGATTTTTCACAGGCTAGAAAACTCCTGCAAGACAGCATTGTACACAATTTGCATGGCAAGAATCAGAGTCGTCTCTGAATGCTTTCACAAACCAAATTAAAAACAATTTAACACATTGGAATTTATAAAATTAAAAAAGTGGCTAACAAAAGTTACAGTGGATATAGTTGCAGATCACATCATTGAAAAACTTCAACTAAGCAGAGTTAGCACCACAAATAAATAATATGCAAATTGATGGATGTGAACAAAACTCAATTGTGCGGCAAAATATTATATATGAAAAAAAGTCTAAAAAAACACTGGGAAAATTCGTGCATCAGGGATTGACACCATGTGAGTGCATCATATCACCGGTTCCTTCAGTCGATAACAGTGGTACTTCCTGTTCCACCTCTTCTTCAGACTGGTGTCCACAATAAAGGCAACAAATTTGTCTTTTGCAATTAGACTGGTCTTAGAAAGCCTTACCCATTATGAAAAGCTTTGCCATAATGAGAAATTTATTTTATTATTAATGCATTTTGCTTCATGTTGTTAACTTGTTCTAAATGAGACAAATTCAATTGGTTCAATTTCCATAGTATCCAAAAACTTCTAAAACCAAGAAAATCATACACTTTTCCAACCAGTACTCACAGACTTTGTCTGGAAAAAAAGAACCTAAATTGTTTTCTACATATTTGTATATATGATATTGCAACAAATGAAAATTCATGGGATATTTCATACCAGATTCAAGGAGAGGCGAAAACTAGAAAAGTACCACAAAGCATTGCTTTTGAAATTCCTTCCCTTCCAAGCCGATCTATTTTCCATTCTTGACATCAGACAAGCCATCACCAAAAAGAAATCTCTTACGCTCGTTCGATTCGGGCAGGTGGTTGCATCCAGCCTTCCCATCGACTTCGTTTCCGTTCCCAATGGAATCGCCTCGCCGGAAGTCCAGGGACGCACTGTTGATGCAGTAGCGCTTCCCGGTGGGTTGAGGTCCGTCGTCGAACACGTGGCCGAGGTGCGCCCCGCACTTGGCACACGTCACCTCGGTCCGAACGAGCCCTGGGTCGGCGAGGAGACGGAGTAAGTTCCCGCCGACTGCGGCACGGCCGGGGAAGCGGGTGGAGGCGGAAGAGGAGAGGTGGAGGAGGGGAATATGGAGAAAAACAAAAAGAAAAGGACAGGCAAAGGTGAAGGGATGATCCCAGTAAGCAGGTGCACAAACAAGCTTTGGGTTTTCCCTCCCGACGAGGCAAACAGAAAGATAAAAAGCCAAATTCCTTAGATTCCCCATGCATGATTTGGAAGAAAGACCAAAGCAAACAATGAATCCCTATGCTATGCCTTTGACTGAATAACTCTCATTTGTTGACCTCAAGGAAAGCTCTATGACTGATCTTTCCATGAATAAAGAATTGTGCATGAGATTACAGCTAAATGTACATAATCTAGGAGAGGGAAAATCCCTTAACTTACCAACTGTGAAAGTTCTACAAGCCAAACATAAAACTACATATGCCACCAAAAAATAGAGCAACAAACACAAAGAGATAAATTATACCTCATTTTGCTGTCTCTGAAGAAATGCATATTTTACTTTAACCTAGTTGATTAAAACAATAGATGCTATCTGGGGCCAATAGTGATATTAGTTATTTTTAATCATTAAAATTAAATTGCATTCATGTGGAAATAAATCAGCTAGTGCTATATGCCCAAGACTGATTATCCCACTCTACTTGCTGTACAAACAGAAAATAAGCTATCATAGGCCTATATATCAGACAGAATGCCTGGACCTACAATACCATAATATAATTTTGCAGTCAAACATACCTCCTTCTTAAAATAGAACAGCTGAAATCATTTTGTCATGAAAATTTCAATCCTTCATTCCAAGTTTCTAATTTTTAATTTTCTGTAAAAACACCTTGACTTAAGTACCATCACATCACAAATGCTGCATCAATATATCAATATACAAATTTGAACAGCACTTGGCATGAGCTTATTAACAGACCTGCTGCAACCATCATTGTTCTCAATACATTCCTTAACTCAAGTTAAAAAAATGCATCATGCAAATAAACTGTCACAGGCAGGAAACAAGAGGGACTTTTTGATTATAATTACCATGCACCTTTGCTTACTCTTCTTCAATATATTATTATTTTTTAACATCCTGTTTAAAAAAAAAAGAAAAAAGATACAAAGTAGCACACTTGCTCCTTACATTCGCTTAACAGGAAGGAACACTGAAGTCATTCATGCTTCATCAAAAGATCCAAAAGTCATGCTCGACATGCTAATGAGAGACGTTGGCACCACTGGGATCATACGACATATCGTTTGCAGGGAGTAGGCAGAAGACGAGCGGAACTTCACAGAAACACCAAGTTTCACGTGGGGGCATGTGAAAGCAAGACGCATCAACAAAAACAGAAAAAACATCAATCACTTTCTTTCTTCCAAGTACTTTCATGATTTTAACACAAGTAGCAGACACACTAACGTGCAAAACTCGTTACCACAAAAAATGAGACGCATACAAATGCCACAGTTCAGTTAAAATACATAATTACAACACGCAAATGTACCAGAAAAACTTACAATGAAAAATTCAAACACAGTCTCAAGGGAAGGAGCTGGACTCACCCCCAGAGGTGTCCTTGCGCAGGGTGACCTTCCCGGCCGACACGACGTCGTAAAACGAGGGCCACCCGGACCCGCTGTCGTATTTGGTGGTCGACGAGAAGAGGCTCTCTCCGCACACGATGCACGTGTATGAGCCCGTCTCCTTGTGCTTGTACCACTTCCCTGTGAATGCCCTGAGGAGTATCAGAGAGAAAAATCGTGTTGAAGTATTTGTATATTTTGAAGTATTTGGAAGGATCTTCTGATAAGGGTGAAGCTGACAACAACAAAAAAAGAACCTGGTGGCACACATGAAAGGAATACCGATATTTTGTTGAGACAAGGACTACATTCCAAGCAAAAACTGATTACCAACTTCCTCTTATGAAGCACACTATCCACATTACTTTCCGCAATCCCAATTCAATTCAAGATCCAAGATATTAATTCAAGATCCAGCAAATGAAATGGAGTTCCAAATGCATTGGTGGTGAACAATTTAATTTAACTCCTGATGATAATGGCCACAAAAAGGCAGACTTTTCCCATAAAACAAGGCAACTTGGGGCTTAGGACATGGCAATCATGGCAGGCAGATGATAGGCATACATTAAAGATGGGGATTGTCCTCTACCAGTATAACAACAAACAAACAAAGCAAAGCAGAGTGAAAGTCCCACAAAAGCATAATTTCGAGAGGCAACAAATTGGCATTTCAAACATATATCTACAAAGGCAAGACTCATATTCTCTCACCCAAAGTCCTTTTGCACACCAGCAATAAACCCACACAACAAGTAATAATAGCCTCACCCTGCAAGGTAGTCTATGCTCCAATTCATCATTGCCTTTAACAGCAAGATATCGAGCTTTGATATGAAGAAAAAAGACTGTCCAATCAATATTCACAGTCAAGTGTTAAAATAAGCCATTTTAGCAAATATGATACAACCAGAAACAGGACAGTATTATTAAGTTACATTTTTCATATGGAGCACAGAAGCTACGGAAAACAGAAGGGTGTAGCAAGAGATTCAAATTATAATAGAATAACCTGATACTATGAGCATAAAAACAGTCACCCATCTTTGTCAAGACAGGAACTCCCATGCATTATTTAAAAAAAAAGGGTCCCAATTTTCACAAAAGTGACTTTCAACGATTCTTCCACCTTTCAGTGCCTCCTTCTTGCGTGACATGAAACTGCTGAGGGGTGAGGTTCTTGCAGAGCTCCGCTCTCGGCGACATAGACCCGCAGCTCATCTTGGAGGACCCCGGACCGTCGGATATTCCACGCACCAGGCCGCTGCCTGCAATAGCCCACGCGGCAGTCCTGTTCCACCGATTCACTAGTCGAACTGATGTCAGCGACGCCTGCAAAGCCCAGAAGGGGTGAATTCGCTTTCATCCTTGATCCTCATTCTCCCCGTGAAGGCATGGGCCCTACGCAGGCCGATGCATGTAGAATATCCATAATTACCATAGCAATAGGCCCATCCTAATGTCACGCTAGCTACTCTAAGTCTAGCCGAACCAACACTACGTCTCACCGAGAGGACAAGCAAGATCCACGTTAGTAGGTCTAATGAGCCTGAAAGAAAGCCCATGTGGCAGAGTTGTTGGCAAAGGTGAAGGGAATCAAGAACCAACACATAGAAAAGGAAGGCAGAAATTTTGCCACCTGGCAACAAGGGGCACAATAGGGTAGAAATACATCATCAACATGTCTACTGTTAATTTCCAAAGAAGAATTCTACAACACAGTATATTAGAGTTAGCAAAGAAAAAGAGGTAGTACTATACACTGGTGAGGTAACCAATTAGAATATTGGCTGTCCATTCATCCACTTTAATGAAAATGAAATGGGTTGAGAGGTTGAAATGGAAGGCAAACCAGAATGAAGTGGGTAGTTGGATAAAAAGTCTCTCTTCACCGATGTAAGAGAAGTCAAGTGAAGTTACGTCTCTACCAATTCCCTTCTTTTGCTATAATTCTGAAAATTTTTAATCCTTTTCCAAAAGGTTCCAATGTGACCTATATGCTTTTCACTTCCAAAAATGCATTTCCTACAAGGAGGGGAATTCCACAAATTACATAGGCCTAGATGCAAGATAGAAATTGTGAATTCACTCATAGAATAATAGAGGAATGGATCAAGTTGCAGGCTAACACAGTTCAAGAAGCACCTGTAGGTGCCACATATCAGATCATGATACCTTATGTGGGACTATTGGTGGCCACAAATGTATGCTATTCCCCATTCAAAATGGAGTTCCTGTACATGCTATGTTTTTCAGAGAAGGGAACAAGAGGACCAAAAAGAAAAGAAACCATCACAAGCCTGCTTTCAATCCTCTTTGGGAGGATTATCCATTCAAAATGGAGTTCCTGGAGATACTACACTATTCAGACAAAGGAACAATAGAATTATTAATAATAAAAAAAAACAGTGGAGCTCTGGTGGTTCTACATTACATGCACAAAATAAGAAACCTGACTATGTTGCATGCAAGGCTCACTTCATCTGTCCTCATTCTAATACTAGTATATATATTCATGACCCTTTACAAAAACAAGCATGCCACAAGGGATATAGGATTTGGGCATTAAAAAGGAAAATCAACTAAAGTTTCCAGTTACTACTTGTATAACCAAGGTTACCACAGGTCATGCTCATCAACAACATGTTCAAAATATTTATTGGCCATCACAGGCTTATGATTGCCACATTGCATAAAGAGAATCAACCCAGGTACCATAATACTCATGTCTAGTATTCCTCACATCTCAAACTTTTTCCTTGGACAAATGTACCATATACATAGGTGATAGCTCTTTTCATGTGCCGTGCAGCACACATGACACTTCCCTCTTGCAACAAGGCTTCTTTTTATGACTAATCTCAACATCAAAAGTCGCATAAACCAGGATGGAATTGTAAGGTCAATTATTGGTTTGTGTGCAAATAAAACTTGACATATGTACTAAGCAGAGTCAACAGTTCAGGAACAGTCATTGATCTAAAGGTATTTTAAAAAAAAACATTTACATTATTTCAGCCAAAAGCGATAGTAGCTACTGATAATGAGAATAATTGCAATGTGACTGCCACATGGCGTGTCATAAGCGTTCGGCTCATAGCCAAAAGTCAAATTCAAAGCCCAAGTTCCCCTTAGGCGAGCTGGTGCCTGTGACGGACCACGAATGCAGTGACCAAAGGAAATTCGTGTGAACACTCCAAAAGCACTGAGCGTATTCGGTTTCGCTATCCGTTTTCCGCCGGATCCGATTAAGGCACCGTTCCGATCCGGATTGCCTTGCACTCGACCCAAGATGCCGAACGACGTTCCCACTTACGCTATGCACGTTATATGATTGCCTAAACAACGCCACGGATTGGGAACGAAGCGACCCAAGGGTCATGGCCCCTCATTAGCAGTGAGAACTACACGTCGCCGCCATCTTGTTTGGCATTTTCTCACGGTTGTGCAATACCCTCTTCCCTAACCTCAAAACAAACTCCCATTACGTCCAGAATATCAGATAAATATTCATGAATTAAATAAAAACTTCGATATTAAAGTAAGTTAATTGTCATAGTTGCATACATTTGGCGATCTAAAGCAGAAAGTGACGGTGAAAACTGGGTGCCCTCATGCCTGGCAGGCGAGGGCCTACCACGATAAATCACCATCGCACGTGCATTGCACGAGTTCCCCTCAGGATGACGGAGGTCCGACTCGGTAGGCCCATCCCTGGCCCTGACCCGCCTTTCCCGTCGACTCGCCGAATGAACCTCTTCGTCTCTTTCGCAGAGGAGGAGTGGCACCCGGCCCCGGAGGTGATGGTGAGCCTGTACGAGCGCCTGGCGAGGGGCGAGGTCCTCTCGCTCAAGTGGCGGTGCCCCGGGGCGCACCGTGGGCCGCTCCCGCTCCGGAGGGTCGCGCTACCGAGGTCGGACGCCAGACGCAAAAGAGGAAGCGAAAAGATTCAGACAAACACCAAGAAGGCGCTATTAAGTGCCCCGTCCCGGACTATTATTGCATTGAGAGCCTAAAGGTAGTTGTTATCTGATTGTAATTGATTTTAGCACATGTTTTTGAGAGGAATGTTTATTCAAGTTTTCTTGAAATCTAAAGTACTTAAAAGTAGGAATGATTTTCCTTTATTCATAAAACCAATTATGGCTATGTCAATAAGATATGAAACATCTGCAGAAATGTCAAATATTCTTAGTTGCAGCATATGCAAAAATTCATGAGCAGTAATTGATTCGAACAAAATGTGAACATTAGAATGATGCAATGATTTGGGCCACTCCTGCAGACTTTGCAGGCTCTAATTACCGAGGAGTTGCTACCTTGGTTGTTTGATGCGGCTCTTGTGTTTGAAAAACGTTGAGCCGTGTCACCATTCCGACCTGGACTGTTCAGGCACGTTCCATTCCTCTCTCTGTCCTGCACTCTCACATTTTCCACTGCTTTGCCCCTGCACTGTGACCGTATGCACGGGGCCTCTGTGTCTGATAGGCAGCCGCTCTGCCCGGCCATCCATGGCGACATGCATCTGGCAGTGCGTGCATGTGACAGTTGCAAAATGGAGAGGTGGAATGTGAAGACAGAACAATGGAATGAAGTCACTGATGCATGGAGAAAAGGGAAAGAGTGGGGGAGTAAATTTGCATCTCCTCGAGAACGGTTATCCCATGAAAATGTAAAAAACAAAGAGGTTACTCTCTTTAAGAAAACCGACTCTGGTTAATCATAAGTCAAAATTCTCTACTGTAGTAATGTCCTCCACGGATAGAATAACATAATAAGTGGTACAAATGTTAGAATTACTTTCAGTTAATCCACATATTATGTAAATATTCAGAGCCCCAAGGCTAGACGGATTCCTTCTCGAGGACGTTGGTTCTGCCGAGCCCGGCTCGGAGCCGCATCGAGGGTGAATCGCTCCTAAATGAAAACTCTTGGGACAGGAGAATTCTCAGCATGCACTTTGGGAGAGGATTTTTAAACTATCTTATTGCTCATTTGAGCAATTGTCTTTGTTTGCAGTGAGGCACATTGCTTAATCTTGAACTGAAAGTTGGGACACTCTTGCTGGCTCATGGTGCTGTAGTTGCTTTTCATTTCCATCCAGTCACCCATAACCAGAAGGTAGACCCACTGGTGCCAGTAATCAACATATTTTAGGACAGCATTCACCTGCAACAGACAAAATCTAACACTGCGACAAAGATTGCTTGCCCCATTAAACTTGCATCAACTAATTTCATTCATCTGATGGCGTGTTCAAACAGGCCAGAAAGCGACATCTTCTTCGACTTCGACGAGACCCCCGAGACCCCTCTGCAGCCGGTGAGGACCCCCGGCTCCTCGCAGCCGCGAGGGAGCGCCCGGAAGAAAACGACCGACTTCGACAGCGTCATCTCAAACATGCAGCGCCACCAGCGGATGGACGCCCGGGACTCTCCCGTGCCCATCAGGTGAGGACCCCCGGCTCCTCGCAGCCGCGAGGGAGCGCCCGGAAGAAAACGACCGACTTCGACAGCGTCATCTCAAACATGCAGCGCCACCAGCGGATGGACGCCCGGGACTCTCCCGTGCCCATCCGGACCTCCACCCCGAAGAGGGCAGAGCGGAGGGTGCCGCCGACGGGTGGCCGACGAAGCTGATTCCACGACCTGAGCGACCGCTCCATGTTTTGTTGATATTCTTTCATTCCCATTGTACGATTCTTCTCTTGGCTGCAAATATCAATGTGATACGCATGACTGCATGGATTTCAATTTTGTGGAACATGTAAAAAAGAGCCCAGCATGTCTCTCAGGGTTAGCTAGTTGAATGAACACTGTGAGTGTGACCCATCAGATTAGTGAAATGTTTGATGCATCTCGCTCGAAAGCAAGAGAGGAACATACGCTTTGTTAAGTGGGTTTTGTGAGGCATGGGCATTGCCAATCTCTCTTCAAAGGGTGTGAAAGCAAAATCTCTTTCTTTGGAATTTTAAATATTTTTCAAGTGATTGAAGAAACTAAATCACCTGTTATTTGCTTCAGAAACAAAAATTATTTGTTACTTCTTGCTAATCTCGCAAAGGCAGTGATTACAGAATCACAGTTGCACCTCATGCTTTGTGTACCTACTTCAGAACCGGTGAATTTAATTTTCCATTTCCCACCTTGCCTGCTAGGGCTTCCTTTCGAAGAAGGGGTTCAAATTGGTGCAAACACCAATATCTCTTATGAGTCTCACCGGCTGAACTCACTGCACACTTGATGTGCCCTGTGGAATATTGTATTTTCTGTCTGGAACATGATGCAGCTTCTAGAGTGGAGAAAGCAGGGATTTTGCATAAAATTTGCACGACCAAGTGCCCGACGTGAAACACCTCGGCCGGAAAAGGACGTCCTCGAAGTCCTGGCATCGTATCACGACCCAAGGCCCCTTTCCGTCTCGTCAGCGTGTGCTAAACGTATCCACGATCAATTTTGTTGGCTGAGCTCTCTTGCCTTTCTTGTTACTGGCCTTTGTAGAGCCTACAAAATTTGTTTCAGTCTGTCTGTTCTGTCTGTCTGTTCCTTCATGCATTCGAACCCCACATGAGCCAGCGCAACCAAACTTTGCATAGTCCCCTCTTTCATCCAGGGGAAGATCGTGGGCTAGG